GCCCTCGGCCGCGCGGGAGGCGCGGCCATCTGCGGGCTCTTGCTCTCGTCTCCGTCTCGCGCGTGCGTGTGCAACCACGGCCATCATTAGAGCGAGCGCGCGGCCGCCGCCGCCGCTGCCGCTGCCGCGCCAGGGCCGGCCGCAGGGCGCACCTTGCCGCTGCCGGTCGGGCTCTGGAGCGCGACGCTCTGGCCGTTCAAAATCCTGGGGACAGCTGCGCGCTGCACCGGCGTCGGGACGTACGACCCAATTTCCCAGAGGCGTCTCGAGAGGTCTGGGTGCAGGCCAAGGGCGTGCCACGCGCCCCGCGGGGGCTCGTCGTCGGCGGCGGGGGCAGGGGCGGGGACGCTGCGCAGCAGCCTCGGCGCGCCTCTGGCGTCGGGGCGCGCCGGCCGCCGGGCGCGGGAAGGGCCGGCGTGCTTGCTCCTGAGCACGAGAGCCTGAGAGGCGGTGAACTGCGTGCCCCATACGCGCAGCCACTGCGGCGCGGCCGCCTTGCTGCAGGCGGCGGCGGCGGCAGCAGCTGCAGCGACCGACGTGGTGACGGGGGCGTTGCTACCGGCTTGCCCAAGCCCGAGCGTGTTGGACCATGCGCATCGTGCAAGAAACGATGATGCTAGATTAATGACCATGTGGTCATAAAGCTACGCGGATCAGACAACTATACCGCGGGCCGGTTCAACTCGCACGCACGTCAACTAAGGTGCAGCTCAACGAGCAAGTATTAAGAAAGTTGAGTGTCATCGTAATCAATGGCGGCATCACGACCTGGTAAACTTTGCCGAACATGCTGGTCGTCACCAGCACCGACTAACACTAGTAGTGACCCAGGCGCCCGGCTGGAGCAGCCCGCCCTTTCCTCCACCCTCATAGTCACACCGGCCAGTTAAATACGGCTGTCAATGAAGATGATCGCCGCCGTGGCATTTCAGGCAGTCAGCCAACGTATGCAACCCCCTGCCCCCGCACACCTACAGACCCAGGCGCAGAGGATACCCTAGCACCAACAGCGAAAGCCTTGCCGCCACTGCCACCTGTTGTAATCCGGATATTCTTCTTGATTTTGGCGGCCAAAAACAATCCCTCGGCGGACGTGAGCGTGAAGCCAATCGAGGACGACGAGCCCTTACATTTGCCACAAGCCAGTGGTGCACACGCAACCTTTGACAAAGGCGGTAGTTGCTCTCCGGATAAAATCAAACGTAGAGATCTTATAAAACTTTTCCTGATTCAAAACCGAGGGGCTGATGCAGCACGCCCTCTCCCACCTCGCCCGCGCGCGCCCCGCCCCTCTCCTCTCTGCCCCCCACGGCCGCTGCCGCGCCCGCCGCGCCTGCCGTCCCCCCGTGCCGCTTGACCCGCGCCCCTGCCTCGGCCTCCCCTGCTGCTGTCGCTGCCCCTGCTGCCGTCGCTGCCCCTGCTGCCGCTGCTGCTGCCGCCGCCGACTTCGCCGCCGCTGCCAAGATATTTCTCTTGCTTCAGGAACTCCTCCAGGCCCGCAAGCGCCCGCCCGTCCAGCTTCCCGCTGGCCGCCGCAGCCCTAGCTTCCGCCAGCTTCTCGTCCAGATCATCATCCTCGTCATCCTCATCTTCGTAAATTTCCTCAAACTCGTCCTCGTCATCCTGCTGGGCCTTCTGCTGCTGCCGCGCCTTGGACGCAGAGGCGCTGCCCGCGGCGCCCGCGGCGTCGGGTGCGCCGTCGGCGGGCTGCTGCTTGCGCTTCTTCGGCGCGGCGCGGGGCGGGGGCGGCCCGACGACAAACTCTCCGTCTTGCACGTGAGCCTCCTGTTGGTGGGAGTTTGCGGCCGCAAGAGTGTTGCAGAGTTGGTTCAATACAAATGCGTTGGACCACACAGGTGAGCGGCACAATACTGGCACTGGATGGGGGTGGTTGTACTGCTTGAATTGATTGCGAGGTCAACGGCAGTGCACTGGTTCAGAAGACACTGCCTATGAGGGGCCTGAAATGCACGGATACATCAGGACTCAACAGCTCCTTGCGGCTGCTGCAATTGCCAGTGGGGCCAGCTGCCTCCGGCTGACCCCCAGTTTTGGACAAAAACACGACCATCCGCTGGCCTGTAGGCCTGCTTTGGCCCACCGCAGCTTTTACCGAAAGCCTTTGCCAATCACTAACACCCACCAGTATAGGCACCCCCAGCCGCTGCGCCAGCCGATCCACGACAAAGCGCTCAGAGGGCGCCGCGATGCTTACGACCACACCGGGCGCGCCCATGCGGCCGGTGCGGCCGGCGCGGTGGGCGTAGTGGGCGGCGTTGGAGGGGAGCTCAAGGTTGAAAACGGCATCCACGCCTGCAAAAAGTTGGGGCAGTTTTGCGTTCGGTTGAGGATGGTGGATGGGACAAAACGATGATTGCTGTTGGGGGCATCGTCCGGGGTCTTGAGCAGTGCGAGGCAGGCGTCAGGCTGAGCTTAGGGGCGTTTGAAGTGTGGCGGAGGCTCTGTTCTGCTCTGCTCTGCTCTGTTCTGCTCTGCTCCGCTCTGCTCTGCTCTGCTCTGCGCTGCGCTGCGCTGCTGGTGACACACACGCTTTGAGGCCAGCCTGACGCCAGCGGCGACTGCCGTCGCGGTCCTCCGTGACACCTGCCACGATGTACGTACCATTCATAGCAAAGAGACCCAAAACCGCTTGGTCAACCTGAGCGCGCCCCCCTGCGATACCTGCAGACAAACCCCCCAATAGCACGCGCCCCTAGTGCTCGCCCGCTTGTCAGAGCGCACCCGGCACGTCAAGCCCCCTTGCCGCCACATCAGACGCCAGCAAGAGCCGCTGGTCGCCCCGCGCAAAGGCCTCCAGCACCGCCTGGCGCGCCTGCTTGCCCATCTCCCCGTGCAGGGAGGCGGTCTTGGGGCGTCGGCGCGGGCGCGGGGCGGGGAACGTTGTGAGGGCCCCGTGGTCGCCGTGGCACGGGCTCGGAGACGGGTGGACGTGCGGCTGGGGCGTGCCCTGAGCCGACAGCGCTGCGGGCGGGTGCATGGTGCGGCAGAGCTGTCGAGGATACATGCAGCAAAAGAGACACCATACGTTGCAGCGGGGCGGCAACATAAGCAGTCCACGAAAACCCCATGCCCACCTCCATGTTGCGCGCGTCAAGTTTGTGCTGCGCGTCCTTGAGTCGCTGCTGGAAGTTCATAAACACCAACGCCTTCCCCGCCCCGAGCGCGTGCACGCAGCGCCGCAGCGTGTCGACCCTGTGGCGCAGCTCGGCAATCACGTACACGTGCTGCAGCGCCGGCGGCATGGTGGGCACGAGGTCGGAGCCCTCGGCGCCGCCCGCAGTCCCTTGCGTCCGCGGCGCGGCGTTGGACGCCGGCCCGTCCCAGCCGGAGACGCCCCAGCCGTACGCAGGCGCGCCCGCGCCGCCGGCGTCGGCGGCGGCGTAACCCGGGCCGCCCGTGTGCTCAGCCAGGTGCGGCGCGGCGCCGCCGGCGGTGACGTAGGCGGGCTCGGGGCACCACCGGTCAAACTTCCGCAGTACCGTGGACGAGAGCGTGGCTGACACCAGGACCGTCTGCCGGCCGCCCTCGATGCGCTTGCCAGCGTGCGACACGATGTGAGTCATGTCCTCGACGAAATTCGACGCCAGCAGCTGGTCCGCCTCGTCCAGAATTAGTAACGGGCACCTGTGCAGCTGCAGGGCAGCCGCCCGCACCATCTCGGCCAGCCGCCCGGGCGTGCCGACGACGACGATGGGGCGGTGCTGCGCGAGCGCCTCGCGCTGACGCAGCGGGCTGGCGCCGCCGATGAGCTGCTGCACTGCGGGGCGGGCGTCTTCGGGGAGCAGGGAGCGCGCGGCCCTCACGACCTGCATGGCCAGCTCTTGGCTGGGCGCCACCACCAGGGCCTGCAGCGGGCGAATATGCGAGTGAGCCAGCTTTCGACCACAAGAAACCTGCTGAGCAGTCGAAATGTTGTCAAGTTTGACAAGCCACCTGCGGGTGCTGATTTTGTCTGGCATGCTTCCCCATCTGCCCTGGACGCAGTTGAAAAGCATACCTGCACAGTCCAGCCCTCGCCCGTCCGCCGCTCCTTGTACAGTTTCTCGGCCCGCCTGAAGGCCATAGTCAAGGCTGGCAGGAGGTACGCCAGGGTCTGGAAGGCGGCGCGGGGCAAGGTGTGGGGGGTTGTGGGGTTGGCCATCGATAGCCATGATCCAGAGGGGCGCGAGGTTTACGCAGATGGGTGAGTTTCGCCGCAACGGTCGGCTGGGTCCAGAGCTGCTTTGCGGTCCTCGAACACCCGCCGCGATCAGCCGCGCATTCGCTTTGCAATGCTGCTGACCACATCCGGTCTGCAATGCTCCTGGTCGCAGCCAGCTGGTGTCGCGTCGCCGCAGCCGCGCAGCTCTCTTGCGGAGGGCGCAAAACCCCACCTTGCCAGAACCTGTGTAGCTCTGCACAGCACAGTTGCCGCCCCTGAGGATGGTCGGGACGGCCGCCTCCTGGATAGGAGATGGTGTCTCGAAGCCGGCATTTGACAGGCCCGGCTGCGGGCGGGGGGCAGGGAACAGGCGGGTATGCTTGAGCATCGCCGCCGCCTGCGGCGGCTGCCGACGCTTCGGTGCCACCAGGGCAGCACATGCGGCTTGCCAGGTGCCGCGCTGACATGGAACCCACATGTGTGTCACATGCTTCAAAATGAACCTGGCTCAGGCAACGATGCATGCTCCCACATGGCAGTACCGCCGCGGCGACTGCGCACCAGCAGCAGACGGTCGACACCCAGGTCAGCAAATGATGGCGTGTCGTCCTTCAAGTGCTCAAGCTCGCTCTGCACACGCGCTATGCGTCCCAAGTCGATCCCGACAGCCTCTGCCTCCTCGCTTGCGGCGGCCCGAGGAACCAGAGAGTGGCCAAGCACCGTCTTCGAGGCCGCCGGGCGGCTGGTTCCCCACAGTGGCAGCTGGGAATTTGCATGTAAGCTGTGTCTACCTACATATGTATGCGCTGAGCTGCTGTGGCCGTGCGCCACGCCAGAACGCAGCGAGCGTGTTGCAAGCGGGGCCTGCATGGTAATAGAGTACCAAGAATGATGTCTGACGACAAGAGGATGCCGTTGGCACGGCGCTGTCGCGCGTCTTCAACGGTGTTGCTGCTTTCGGGTCACCTGACACCAGCACTGCCATCACAAGATGACTTCAAACCCCTACGGCCTTTGTAGCACACATGTAATGCATGTAAGCTCCGAAAAATTCCGACGGTGATTGCCTCACGCCGTAAACGTGGTGTAAAAGCGTCAGACGAACCTGCTGCCACACCTTTTGCACTCCTGAGAAGCCCAAGCACGTCAAAGCATGCTTAGGAACGTAATAGCTTCGCTATGCGTTGAGCAACAGCTGCCACGGGGGTGGCTTGCAGCAAGTGCAGCGCTGCGCCTCTCTGCAGCGCCTTCAGAAGCACCTGCGGGCGCGCCCGTGCCCGCCGCTGCGGCTCGCAGCGGCGAGACGTCCACCTCGGCAACCAGCAGGGCAGGGTTGTGGCGAGGCTGGCGAGGGTTTGCGAGCCCCGCCGAGGCCCAAGGCAGCGACGGGATCGTGGTGGATGAGAGCGCAGTCCAGGTGCGGCGAGTCTGGCTGTGCAGTGCTGCAATCAGGCGGCCGCATGGCCCGCATGGCGAGCTCTGGCCATGCCGTTAGGGCCCTCTAGGGAATTGCGGCGTTGGACCCCACAGCAAGCTGTAGGACCGCCACCGAACCGCCTTGCCATCTTCATGCCGCGTCGCAGCGGCTACTGCAGCTGCAGCAGCAGGCGGGCGCCAGCAAGCAGGTGCTGTTGCGTGTTGAGGTGGAGGGCGGCGGCTGCTCGGGGTTTCAGTACAAGTTTCGGCTCGACACGGCTGTGGGGCCGGAAGACAGGTGGGCGCATGCAAAGGTCGTGTACGGGGGTGCTGCGCAGGAGCATTGTACGTGCTGCAATCCCTGCGTCGCAGGTGACGGCCCGTCTCAGTGGCTTACGGCAGCAGGGCAAGGTTCTTGTGACAACAGGTGGCCCTGCTCTCAGCGGAGGGCTCAGGCTGGCTCCCCACGTGCGCCATGCTCCTGCCGCCCGCACTCTCACTCTCTGATATCGCCGCCATGCAGGGTGTTTGAGCGTGGCGGGGCGCGTGTGGTGACGGATGCGGTGTCGCTCGAGTTCTTGAAGGGAGCTGTCATCGAGTTTGAAGACAGCCTGATGCGGTCTGCCTTCCAGGTCAGTGGCTGGGTTGGACTTTGACACAATGAGGTTGTGTTTGTTGGAGAAATCACCCATTGGGGTTGCTCATGCCGCAGGATGCATGTTGGGTGCCACAAGCCTCACATCAGTAACCACAGCAATGACAGCGCTGCATTGGCGTTGGGCGCCAGCCTGGTCCCGTGCTAGTTTTTTTGAGAGGGCGTGAGGGTTCTGAGGATTCAGTCTGAAGTAGAGCTTGGGTTCTCAGGCCTGAGCTGAGGTGCCGCAGGGTCTGCCAAGCTGGCGCCGCCAGAACAACCACCCTGGCAGGTTGCTTCCTGGCATGGCCATGGGATGCCGGACGCCCGGCTCAAGGCACCCTTCCACATATGCGATCCCTTATCCTCATCGTGCCGCTCGTCCTCGTGCCGCCCGCCCTCAGGTCGCCGCCAACCCCAATTCTGAGTCGACTTGTGGCTGCGGCAGCTCGTTTGTCGCCAAGACGTGACACACCGCTCACAGTCACTCGTCACGTCATCATTACTCATCGTTTTGCTCATCCTTGCTGTTGGCGTTGCTGTCAACGTTCGGTTTCATGCCGCCAGGAATGGCAGCATGTCTCAATGTACATTTCCATGATCATGGTGGTGGTGCTGTCCCCCAACCTCTCAGCACCTCGAGCTAATTCACTGGCTTGCGTTCACATCGTTGCTATCACGCTTCCATACGAAGGCTTGTAACACAGATGCGCCCTGTTGAGAGCATGTTTGGTCGTGACTGGCAGTCATGCAACTGCCTGTCCCCGTGAAGCGTGTTCCCTTATGCGGAGGTCATTGGAGCCACTGAAAGCGTGCACCCTTCTGCATCCCCAGGTGTGCTTGCGGACCGGGCAGGTAAGGCGTGCGTGCATAGAGCCAGGCGGGTCAACACCCTCACTGGCCAAGCTGCTCCCCCGCTGCGATGACAATGGGTTGCCCCTGGAAAAACCATAGCAGGACCTGCGCATCTGGGTCAAATTATTCAGCAAATTCATTGGCGACCTTCTAAGAATTTTGGAGCATTTTCAGATTATAATTACTTATCAACACAAAATTCGCAGCCGCAGTTGGGCCGGCCAACCTTGCACACCGCGACCCCACAGTAGCTGCAGCTGAGGCGGCACAATGTGAGATCAGCAGCCCAGCGAATTGGCCAGCAGAGTGAGCACTTATTATTTACACGAGACAGGGCCGGCGTGCAAGGAGGGTGTAGGGTAATTGCCGTCGCAGCTGCACTCTCACGTGGACAGTTATGGTCATGCGCAGGCCGGGGCCGATCCGCCGGCGACGACCGCGGGCGCGGGGCGCCGGCACGCCAAGGCCAAGGCATGGACACCGGCCGGGGTCTGCAGCAGACGAGCAGGGCTCGTCACGGTGTTATTGGCAGGGCAAGTGCAGAAGGCACAAGGTAAAGCCTGGGTTTATTCATCCAGTCCATACCGCAAGGCGTCTCATCGCCACGGGCCGGGCGCACGGGCAGCTAGCGCTGCCCGAGGCGCGCCGACTGATTCTATGTGACAGGGTGGCACCCACTGCTGTGCAGCCGTGGATGCTCCGGGGTGGAGCATGGTGGGACGGGAATGCCGACGGGCGGCACTGTGTTGGCGTGGCAAGAGTGCGCCGTGCCAGCCAGGCGCCGACGCGTGGGGCCCACACAGATCAAATCAAGCGTTGAGTGCGCGTGCCCTGTGACCAACTAAAGCGCAGTCCTAAGGTCTCTTGCAGTGCGGCGCTGACGCTCCAGTGGACTTTTCCGCCTGCGTGCTTGTGAGGTGAAGCATGTGGGGGACCAAGCGACCCAGTCTGGGCACAGGCGTCCGCCTGCAGTGCGCCGCATGCGCCGCCTGCAGGCGCCCGGCCAATCGGCAGGTTCACACCCGACGCACGGAAGCGCACGCCTGCTCGCCCTTAATCGATGACAGGCGGCAGGCGGCCGTGCGACCGTCCGCGGAGTGCCGGGAGAGTTTGGCGAGTGCAGTAGGAAGGGTTGAGCAGGCGCGGAGCCGCATCAAGTCCTGGGCATGCATAAGAGGAATAAGCCTGAAACAAGGCGCAACACAACAAACAGCGCCGTTTCGCAACATCGTGCCGGCCTCCACAAACGACTTGAAGCCCTGAGCGCCGAGCAGCTGCCTCCAGCGCCACTGAAGCGACTGCCAGTAGCCCGTGTGGTGCTGTGTGGTGCTGTGCGGTGAATGTGTGGTTCAGAATGGTGCATGAACAGCTGGGCGTGCTGCATAGTGGCGGGGGAGCGCACGCACTGCACGGGCAAGAACGTCGTGCTTTGCGCTGTGTGCTCGTGGAGCGTGCCATGCTCCAAACGGCCCCGCCGCGCGTGCCAGCGTTGCGGAGCAAATTTGCAGGCTCAGGGAGCAGCCAAAGGACCCGTGCCCGTGTGGCTTGCTCGGTAAGAATGACAGATGACACAGCCTCGCAGACTCCCCCAGGACCAGCATGCCGCGCGAGGTGGCGTGTGGTCAAGGCCCAACGCCTCAGCTGCGCAGTGCCAGACCTCAAGGAGACACAGGGATGCATGTGGGGCGCCGGGCCGAGCGTCACAAAACGGGCGCAACAATCCAGCAGCTGCGCCATCCCACACGCGTTTTGCAACCGAGCGGTCGGCGTTGCTGGCAACGGTGATTGACCCGTAAGGCACAGCGCGACAGAACAACTCGGCGCAGGTTGGCCGGGCAGCCGGCGAGCCTGCCCCAAACCACACGTGCGCAGGCACTCTTCGCGTGCGTTTGTGCGTGATGTAGTGGCGAGCCGGGCCGCCGAGCGACTTTGCGTTTGTTGAGATATTCAAGAGCAGGCCTAAAAGTGACATGGGACCCAAGGGTAAGGCGGCGAGTGCGACGGCGCGGCCCCAGCAGGCAATAAAGATAGATCGGTGCTGGTTGCAAAACTCGGGCTCAATAAGGACAGTACCTGCCCAGGAAACCACGAGCCGTTTTTGGCGGCGGCAGCAGCTAGGCAGCTGGGGTGGCCCCAGCACCCTCCGCTCGCCCCGCCAGGCGCCCGGAAGTTTATTGTTGTCACGTTCAGAGGGAAATCGCGGCGCCCTCTGCAAATTGCTGCCGTGCTCCAAGCTTCCACAGGAGGAAGGGGGGAGCTCCTGACCTAGGCAAACACATATGTGAGCAGCGCGCATGGCGGCGGCCGCTGCGCAGGCCAACCAGTGCAACCCCCCACCTCCTTGCGGGTGCGACCAGATCAGACACACCCAAAATTGGTTCGCATGTGCCCTGCCTGCAGGGGAGCGGGGCTTGGCAGGCACCCGCCCGCCAAATATGATTGCAGCACACCAAGCGTCCGCGCGTCGCGCAGGGGCGACAGCAGGGCGCGGGAAGCCCCCCTTGCACCCCAGGCAGTCGGGGTCAGCCGCTGCCGCCGCCAGCGCGGCTGACAAACGCCCACATCAGGGCTTGTAAAACGGAATAGCCCCGCCGCCGGTGGACCCCTTGCCCATGCCGCCGCCGCCCCCACCGTCCGTCGACATGAACTTCTTCCCCTTGCCCCTGCTCCTCCCGCCGCAGCCCGACGGCGGCACGCTGCCGCACAGCTGCACCGACGCGGCGCCGGTGACCGGCTGCGGCGAGGACGGCGACTGCAGCTGGGCAGACTGCGATGAGGGGTAGGGCGCCTTGATCTCTACGAGCTCGCGGCCGGCGCTGCCAGACACCGCATATGCCAGGTCGGGCGTGCAGAACGCGCCCGCGTTCTGGGAGCCGGTCTGCTTGATCTGCTGGAACGAGACCGGGGTGACGCGGTCGCCGGCCAGCGCCACCTCGTAGAGGCCTGTTTTGAGGTGGTTTTTGATTTTGCAGACGGGGGTTGCCGTTGGAACGCGGGCAGAGAGTGAACAGGGCCGCCGGGAGCGGCGCTGCCGGCTTCGACGACGCTGGACAATGCAGCAGGTGGCAAGAGCACAGCTGGTCAGCAGCCAGCGGTGCGCCGCAGGAAGTCAAACGTGATAGCCGTTTGAGGGGGTGGAAGGGCACTCACGGTCTGCGCGGGCAAAGAACAGCTTTCCGTTGGGGCCCAAGGTCAGGTCGGCGGTGCCGTTGGGCAGCGTCGCGATGTTCAGCACTCCGCTGAACGCCCAGGGGGTCTTGCTGATGTCGACCTAGGGTTGACATTGCACAGAGGGCCAGGCGGGCAGCTTCAGGCACGATCATCAATCATGCGCATCGCAAGTGAGTGCGGCCTTTGCAACGGGGCGCCAAAGTCTGAAATTGGCTCTCTGGTTGCCTCCCTTGTCAAAGGGCAAGATTATGCACGTGTTGGCCCTCCACCAGCCGGCTGGGCTTCTCACCGCAAACAATGCCTCGTCCGAGGCAGCGTAGAAGATGTTGCTGTTCTTGGACGCCGCCATAGCGCGCCAGATCGTGCCGGACGATGCTGGCGACGCAGGACGCAGCGGGTCCGGCAGGCCGCCGACCAGCAAATCTGCAGTTAGCAGCAGAGAGACGGAAGAATGAGTCAACTCAAACCTTCACAGCAGGCAGCCGGGCAACATCAGGCGGAAGCTGAGAGGTTCGGCTGCTCAGAACATGCATGTTCAGCGTTCGCGGTCTCGACGCCTTGCCACTCACCCACAAAATCGCAGACGCGGTCTGCATCTGGCTCGTCGATCTTGCTGGTGTAGACCTTTATGGCGCGGCCAACGGCCGGGGTGTCGCCGCTGCGCACGAGCAGCAGGGCGTCGCCCGCGGCATCAATTGCGACATCTGTTGAGGCACGGAAAGCGGAATGGGAGGAGGCGTCGGCTCGGCGGTGTTGCTTGGGTGGGGCTGCTTGTTGGCTCTGGGTGCTGACGGGGTCGCCTGGCAGAACAGCGCTCAAGCCACTTACCCCTCTACCTCGAGACAAGCCCTCAGCCACAAGCCAACAACAGCTGGAGACTGGTGTTGCCCGACTGGGCAATATCAAGGCCTGCTCACCCTCAACATACTTCACTGCGCTGCTCTTCGGGTCAAACTTGCACACCCGTGAAGCCTTGACCGGCCCATTCGAGGGCACGTCGTCCGCCAGCCAGAGCGCGCTGAAAGAATGGGAAGGTGTGAAGTGGCGCATGAACGATCTCAGCCACTAGCAGGTTTGACACCCTGACCGCGCCAACCATGCCCTCTTCCCAACAAGCTGACAACACGTTGGAGGATCCAACCCCTCCGCCCGTCGGCCCTGCACTGTACCCTTC